AGACCCTGGACCCTGCTGCGCAGGGCTGGGCGGCTGGGCTGCCGGGGCCCTGGATCCCACCAGGCTGGGCAGCCAGGACCCCGGGCCCAGGACTCCAGTTTGTGGGAGGGGTCTCTGGGCGGGGAGGGCAGCCCACAATGATAAATAGGTTGAGAACCACTGCTCTAAAGTTTTACATTGTTTGGTTTTTTGGATGTAGTTATGTTAAAAAAAAAAAAAATCAACATTTGTAAGTTGCACTTTCACAATAGAGATTGCACTGCAGTACTTACCTCAGGTGAAGTGAAAAATACTATTTCTTTTGTTTGTTTTTACAGTGAGAATATTTGTAATCAAAAATAATAAAATAAAGTGAACACTGTACACTTTGTATTCTGTGTTGTAATTGAAATAAATATTTGAAAATGTAGAAAAACATCCAAAAATATTTGAAATAAATTTAAATTGGTATTCTATTATTGTTTTACAGTGGTATTAAAATTGTGATTAATCGCAACTATTTTTAATCAAGTTTGTTTTGCAATAATCGCTTGCATTAACTGTGATTGACAGACCTAATTTTTATATTATATGATATGTTTGCATATGCACAATGGTATATATGATGTATAATGTATCTTTTTATTTTATTTTAGTTTGTGCCATTCCGGGATTACATTGACAGAAGTGGAAACCATATATTGAGCATGGCCAGACTTGCTAAAGATGTCTTAGCTGAGATCCCAGACCAGTTTCTCTCTTACATGAGGGTCAGAGGAATCAAGCCATCACCTGCACCACCTCCATACACACCCCCTCTTCATGTGTTACAGACTCAGATATGACTACTCCAAAATGGTTAACACTTGCCACAAACCACGTAGAGCTACTGAGTCAGTGCTTCACTATTGGTGCACTTTAAAGAACCAGTGAATCGAGACTGTTGTCTGTCTGGATGAAGTAGTAGCTTGTGATAGGTTTTTGGATCAAAACAAATTCTCTTCATATACCAAAATTCTCAATATGGTTGCATGAGCAACTGAAAAGCTTTTAAACGCTATTCTCTTCAAGTCTTATTTTTTTCTGACTGAAAAAGCTACTTTTTCATTTATTTGTTGGGGGAAAGCACAAGTCACAGTTTCAACTCAGAAGATATTGTTCTCCCTGACTACTGTGTGTATATAAATATATAGGAATGCAATTCCTCTGTATCAATGTTTACATGTTACTACTTTTTAAATTTCAATACTTTTATAAATATTCTTAAGAATAAGAGTTTGGAATATTGAATCATGTGTCTTCTAACTTGCAATAGTTATAGCCACAGGAGAAGCAATATCTCTTTGAATGATTGTCCAGACAAATAAAAGCGCAAAACTAAAGAAAAAGAGGACAAATACATTCATATTTCTCAATAACTGAATTGCTTCACGTAAGTGCTTAGTAGTCAATTCATCTGTCAAAATTTAAAACAGTATTTGAGAATAAAATCTGGAGATGTGAATACTGTAACTGTATTTGACTTACTAATAAAGCTAAGCCTCAGGAAGGGGGTTATGTATTTTTCAGAGATACTCCAATTTCTAAATTTATGTAAGTTTACATTTTTTAAAATAGGTTTTGCTGGCTGACTAGAACTTGCATACTAAATGTAATTAAAGAAGAATTACCTCAAGTCCCATAGCTGACTTACTTAACTTAGTAGAATCATCTCATATTTTGCTTAATAACATTAGCACTTTTGCATCTTAAAACTATTTTCAAGTGATTACAACGGACTTTTTATAATGAACCGTTTTAACGCCCATTTAAAATGTAAAGTTGTCACCTATTGTCTAGATTGCCCATTCAAAGCGATGCTGACTCTTAATATTTGGATTCAATTGTTGTCATCTAATCACATTGCTATTCGAAGTGCACAGATGCTAATATTTCATGAATTAACTGATTTTAAAATTGCACAGCCATATTGCTTTGTGCACAATAGTTTTGTGTATTTAACGACCCAACATTTTACTATATGCCTGTTCGTATCTAATTATAAAATGTTTTGCATGTACAGTTTTTACATGAAATTCACAGTATTGTGAGTATGTGTCAAAGATACATTATATTTAGAATTAATGGCCTTAAATCTCACAAAATTCCTGGAAATGATTGTGAATTGCCTTCAAATTCTGTTAAGACTGAAAAATGTTTTATTTTTTGTGTCATCATTGTAACTACCTTGTAATGTGACTGTTTTCTTTACATATAACTGGTGTATTACTTTGTTTCTTACTTCTATATGTTGTACTATACAGTATCAAGGTAAGGCACATTTTTTAAGCATGAAAAGAGATTTTTTTGCAGAAAAACATATTTGCAGTATCAATGACCTATAACTATGTAAGTGCAGAATCTTCCATTTTGAAATATATTAAAACTTAAAATTAATATCTCACATTGTATATTACTTTTTTCAGATAACTATTCTGTTATAACAAGGACTTTTTTGTAAGAACAAATATTATTTTAACTTTATTTCAAACCAGTTTTTACATAAGAATGAAGTTAATTTTTTTCACAAAAATGTGTGATTTTTAGTGGGCTTGTGTTGCGTGAATGAAATTTAATATCTGGCAACTACTGCTATTAAGGAGAGAACGTCATAAAAACTATGTATCAATCTACATTGTTATTTTCCCTTCTATGCTCTAAATTAATTTTAAACATGCCATAATTTCTTTATAGGATGTTTTTAAACATTGTATCAATAAGCATTTCACAAGTAATTAAAGCAAATTAATATTATACAATGGTGCACCTCTGTTGTTCCAACGTGATAGCTAAGTTTCTGTTATTACACTTGTAAACCTGTTGTAATGGTCAACAGGTTTAACAGCTTTTTCAGTCTCCAGCCCAAGTCACAGGTTGCCATCCTTCTATCCTCTGCTCCTGTAATCATTTAGTTCTCTTTATATTTTTGATTCAGCAGATATCAGACTGTCTCCAGAAAGAAAGAGGTTTATGAAGGCTATTAAATATCTTAGACCTGACTCAGATAACACTTTATAAATGCAAAGCATAGTGTTAAAGCTAATTTGATTCTTTACGTTTGCAGTATGACACTTTTGAGATAGGTATATAATCAAAACAATTTTTTCCCACAACATACACATCCATTACATCTGCACTATTTGATGTTTATGTATGACTGTATTGATCTTATCTAGCTACTAGTGATTTATAAATCAAACAAATATGAAAAGTAAAATAAAAAGAAGCAATGAATAGACGCAGTACCATCTCCCTAGTGACAAAAAGGAGTTCAGGTTGGCAATATTCTCTAGATCATTGGTGGGCAACCTGCTGGCCGCCACTTCCCACAGCTCCCATTGGCCGGGAACGGTGAACCGTGGCCACTGGGAGCTGCGGGCAGCCATATAAACGTAAACAAACTGGTGGCCCACCAGCGGATTACCCTGATGGCCACTACCCTAGATGATTGATATCTTAGCTACGGAATTGATGTGCATTTTTTAGATAAAGAGGAGGCAGTCATAATCTCTGCCTCCTTATTAAAAGAGATGAGACATTAGGATCCAGATTCACAAGAGGACTTAGATGCCTTACTGCCACTATAGGCACACGAATCCCAGAATCAGTCCCCGCTGGTATTCAAAAAACCCTGCTCAGATGCTGCCAAAGCCTGTAGGAGCCCAAACTCATTCTGTCTAAATTTTTGCAGTAAAAGTTCCTTAGGTACATACATTTCTGCTGCTGTACATGCACATAGCAGCCTCACCATTGGCATCCAGACACCTAAACCCCAGAGCAATGCACAAACAAGGAGAAGATAGGCATTCCTCCTACTAACTCACCTGCAGGGCCCAAACTGGTAAGCAGGCTCAAAGCAGGTTAGCTATACTTGGTCCTGCCTCAACACAGGGAGATGGACCTGATGACCTCTCAAAGCCCCTTCCTACCCTACATTTCTAGGATTCAGTGAAATAGAGTAGATCAATGTGCTCAAATAAAAATTAGAAAAAAAAAATTCTCTATTTGATAGTTTTAGATCAATTTTAATTCAATTGAATTTATAAAAGCACTCGAGGCTTTCCAGGCACTCGCTAAATTTTCGTGTTCTCTCCAAGTGTATGTCAACCCTGGGAGCTTATCCAACAATGGCAAAATGAAAGGAAGCACAAGCAGCAGAAAAGTCAAAGAGACACAAAGTGAGAGGGACTGAAAAACAAGTGGGGAAAAAAATTACCAAAAAACCCCAATCCTGACTGAAATAGGATACAGAGGGTTTTTTTTCTTTTTTATGAAAGAGGAGCATGAAGTTTTTGGCCCATTAGTACTGTGATCCCTCTTTTGTACTTTCTGCACTGATCAGTCTGCTAGTGATTACTTTGTGTTTAGCATCTTTCTCCCTCTTCTTTATAGGCAATGTGGCCCTTCAACTTGCCTGCCTTTTTTTTTTTAAATCAGTCCTGAGTCAGAGGGGACAGTTGTTACTTATTTTTTGAGAATTCAGTTTTTAATTAATTCACAAATACACAGTTGATTTTACTCCCTTCCTGAGGTTTGGCTTTTGGGAAGTTAATAATCCTGGAACATGAGTGAATCTGTTTTACATCTTAGATGTCTATACACAAATGCAAGGAGTATGGGGAATAAACAGGAAGAACTGAAGGTATTAGTACATAAGTTAAATTATTATTTAATTGGCATCACAGAGATTTGGTGGGATAAATCTCATGATGGGAATATTGGTATAAAGGGGTATAGCTTGTTCAGGAATGACAGGCACAGAAAAAAGGGAGGAGGTGTTGCATTATACATCAAGATACACTTGTTTTGAAGTCCAGAAGGAGATGAGAGACAGACCAGTTGAAAGATAACAATACAAGCGGAAAAAATAATGGATATGTCACGGTAGGGGTGTACTATAGACCACCAAATCAGGAAGGGAAGGTGGGTGAAGCATTTCTAAAACAGATAACAAAAATATCCAAGTCATAAGACATGGTAGTAATGGGGGACTTTGACTACCCAGAAATCTGCTGAAAAAAGAAATATGGCAAAACACAGAATTTCCAGTAAGTTCTTGGAATGTATTGGGGATAATTTTTTGTTTCGAAAAGTGGAGGAAGTAATTAGGGGACAGCCATTTTAGACTTGCTTCTGACCAACAGGGAGGAATTAGTTGGGAATCTGAAGGTGGAAGGCAATTTAGGGTAAAGCATCATGAAATTAAAGATTTCATGAGTCTAAGGAAGGGAAGGAGCAAGAGCAGCAGAAAAAGGACAGTGAACTTCAAAAAAGACCAACAAACTCAGGGAACTGGTAAGATCCCATGGGAAGAAAATCTTGAGACAAAGGAATTCAGGGGAGCTAGCAGTTTCTCAAAGATACAATATCAAATGCACAACTGCCAACTATTCTGATGTGAAGCACAGATAGGAAGACTAGTAAGAGGCAAATACAGCTCCATTGGGATCTCTTTAATTACCAGAAAATCAAAAAGGAATCCTACAAAAAGTGGAAACATGGCCATATTGCTAAGGATGAGTACAAAAAAATAGCACAAGCATGTACGGACAAAATCAGAAATGCTAAGGCACAAAATGAGTTACACCTAGCAAGGTACATAAAAGGCAATATGAAGAATAAATACACTAGAAACAAGAGAAAGATGAAAGAAAGTGTAGGTCCTCTACTTAATGGGAAAGAGAACTAATAACTGAGGATGTTTGAAGACTGAAGTGTTTAATGACTATTTTGCCTCACTCTTCACTAAAAAAGTTAATGGTGACCAGATACTCAACACAATTAATATTAACAACAAAGAGGATGAATGCAAGCCAAAATAGGGAAAGACCAGATTAAAGACTATTTAGATAAGTTAGATATAGCCAAGTTGGCGGGGCCTGATGAAATTCATGATAGGGTACTTGAACTAGATGAAGCAATCTCAGAACTGTTGGCAATTATGGTTGAAAACTCATAGAGGATGGGTGAGGACTGAAGAAGGGTAATCATAGTACCTATCTTTAAAAAGGAGAACAAAGCGGTCCCGTGGAATGTTAGACCAGTCAGTCTAATCTCAATACCTAGAAAGATATTAGAACAAATTATTAAACAATCACCTAGAGGATCATAGGGTTATAAAGAATAGCCAGAGAACAAATCATGCCAAACCAACCAGTTTCCGTCTTTGACAAGTTACTGGTCTAATGCATTGGAGAAAGTAGTAGAACTGATATATCTTGATTTTTTTTTAGTAAGGTGTTTGACACAGTCCCACATGACATTCTCAGATACAAACTAGGAAAATGTGGTCCAGATGAAAATACTTAATGGTGGGTGCACAACTGAAAGACCATATTCAAAGAGTAGTTGCAAATTGCTTGTTTTCAAACTGGAAGAGTATATCTAGTGGGGTCCTTCACAAATCAGTCCTGGGTCCAGTACTGTTCAATATTTTCATTAATGACTTGGATAATGGAGTGGAGAGTAGGCTTATAAAATTTGTGGATGATATCAAACTGTGAGGGGCTGCAACCACTTTGGAGAACAGGATTAGATGTCAGAATAACCTTGACAAGTTGGAGTATTGGTTTGAAAACAACACACTGAACTTCAGTAAAGACAAGTGCAAAGTACTTCACTTAGGAAGGAAAAAAGTCAAATGCACAATTACAAAATTAGGAATATCTGGCTAGGTGATGGTCCTGCTGAAAAAGATCTGGGAGTTATAGTAGATCACAAATTGAATATGAGTCAACAATGTGATGCAGTTGTGTAAAAGGCTAATATTCTGGGGTATATTAACAAGAGCGGCATATGTAAGACATGTTCTACTCAGCACCACTGGGTCCTCTGCTGGAGGAATGTGTCCAGTTCTGAGCACCACAGTTTAGGAACGATGTGGACAAATTGGAGAGAGTCCAGAGGAGAGCAACAAATTGATAAAAGATTTAGAAAACCTAACCTATGAGGCAAGGTTAAAAAAACTGAGCATATAAAGTTTTGAGAAAAGAAGTCTGAGAGGGGACTTGTAACAGTCTTCAAATATGTTATGGACTATTCTAAAGAGGACAGGGATCAATTGTTCTCCAGGTCCACTGACGGTATGACAAGAAGTAATGGGCTTAATCTGCAGCAAGGGAGATATAGGTTTGATATTAGGAAAACTTTTCCAACTATAAAGATAGTTAAAAGCTCATAGGCTTCCAAGGTATGTTGTGGAATCCCCATCTTTGGAAGTTTTTAAGAACAGTTTAGACAAACAACTGTCAGAGCTGGTCTAGGTTTATTTGGTCCTGCCTCAGTGCAGGGGCTGGACTTGATGAGGTCTCTTCCAACCCTACATTTCTATGATGCTATAAACCTCCATCTTAGCTTCCTTCCTAAGATTGGCTATGACAAAGTTCTGGGGTTAATTACACCTTTGTCCCTTCCATGGTCTCCTCATGGTCAGTCCTTTGGGGCTCAAGGACACATCCCTCTCTCTCCACACCACAGGTTTAGGCATAAAAGTCCCCCAGTAATTAAACAGTGCTTATCACAGCAGGTCTAACCTTAGTCCAGTGCTTGCTGTTCTGCTGTCTGCCAGGGGCTATGACCAAGTTTACCAATCACTTGCCAGCTTTCATAAAAGCACAATACATTTATTTTGGACAAAAGCATTGCAGAGTGAGCCACTAATAAACGGTCTACACACATGCTACGCTTACCCATTGTACCCACCTTCCACATGGAGACA